GGAGGGGAGGCAGGCAGTGTGAATGCTAAGTATGACGTGGAAATGCTGGAAAAGCCCAAAGCCTTTCAGGGCTCTGAAAGCAGCTGCTGGATGCCTTGGAGCCAGCCGTCCTGCTTCTCCTCATGTGAGTTGGATCAGGGGGATGTGGCCCAAACCCTGGAAGATGAGAAGTGCTGAGGTTCTGCCAGCGCTGGATAGCAGGGTGACCCTGTTCTGAACGGCATCAGCACCGTGCTGTGACGAAGGCGAGTGCCCCATCCCTGCAGACACCCAAAATCCGGGGCTGCGAGCACCTGGTGGAGCTGTGGGTGTCCCTGTTTCACTGCAGGGAGTGGGACCTGATGGCTTTTATGGGACCCTTCTAAATAGCTTGGGCCCTGTGATACAATACAGAGCCAAAGGGAAAGGGCCCCAGAGCCCCTGAGCCCGACCCTTCCCACACACAGCCCCAGAGCTGCTGTGGCTGAAAGCAGCCATCAGCACTGCTTTTCCTTTTGCTGCTGCTCAGTGCCAGGCAGGCACTCATTAGTTCTCCACTGAGGATTTCAGAGATAAATAACCATCTCCCCCTGCTCTGCTGGGAGAGAGGTGCCGGCCCTCTCACAGTCCTGCCAGCTCCTCTTTGCTTTGCCTCCAGCTCTGGGTGCTGCAGTCTCACCACCCCATAGGGCAGCACTCACACAGGGGGCTCCCATGGATCCTCGTGGGATGGCTGCCTGCCCTTGGGGGTGTGGGGTGGGCAGCCTCATCTCTGCTTGCCCTCCTCTGCATCTGAACCCTGGGTCTCCCTCCTCGAGTGCCTGCCTTGCCCCTCTGCCCCATTTGCAGGGAGATGTTTCCCATGGTGGCATATGGGTGCACGTCTTGCCCCTCCTGTTACCTTTAGGGAACAGTGCTTGATTTGCACTCTGAACCCAAACCTGTGCTCCTCTGTGTTTCCATGGAAGCTGAGGCAGTTTCCTGCAGGCTTTTTTTTTTCTTTTTTTTTCTCCATAGCTCTTCGTGTTTGCATTTAACCCTTTGTGATGTAGCACAGCACGAGGATGGATGGGGAAGGTAGGGCAGGAGGCAGCTCGCGCAGTGCTGGGCCCATTGCTCACTGCTGGGGCAGCTCTTACAGCCCCATTGCAGGCAGGGCCTCGTTGGGCTCATCCTGCTCAGGCCCATAGCTCCCATCGCACTGCCACCCCCTGCAGCACTGCCTTCCCATCACTAACACTTGTTGCCTCCCTGCAGTGCAACCTCTCATCATCGCCGTCTCCCCGCAGCGTCGCCTCCTTGCAGCAGTGCTTTCTGCCCTGCAATCTGCCTGCAGCGCCACCGATCTGAAGCATCCGCTCCTCATCGCAGCCATGGGAGGCGGCCGTGCGGGGAGGAAGCAGAGCTGGAAGGTGGGAGCGATGTGGAGGTGGCAATGCAGGGCTGTGGCACTGCAGGCAGATGGCAGTGCAGGGCAATGGCGCTGCAAGGCAGAGTCACAGAATCGCAGGGCTGGAAGGGAGCTCAAGGATCACGAAGCTCCAACCCCCCACCAATGCAGGGCCACCAACCTCCCCATCTCACAGCAGCCCAGGCTGCCCAGGGCCCCATCCAAGCTGGCCTTGAACACCTCCAGGGATGGACGGGGCATCACAGCCTCTCTGGGCAGCTGTTCCAGCACCTCACCACTCTCTCTCTAAACAACTTCCCCCTGACATCCAACCTCCAGCTGCCCTCCCTCAACTCCAATCCATTTCCCCTTGTCCTGCTGCCATCTCCCCTTTCACAGAGCTGACTCCCCTCCTGTCTGCAGGCTCCCTTGAGGCACTGCAGGCTGCACTGAGGTCACCCCGCAGCTTCTCTTCTCCATGCTCAACAAGCCCAGCTCCCTCAGCCTGTCTTCGTAGGGAGGTGCTGCAGCCCTCTGCTCATCTCTGTGGCTCCTCTGGACCCTCTCCAACAGCTCCCTGTCTTTCTTTACTGGGGGCTCCAGCCCTGGACGCAGTGCTGCAGATGGGGCCTCATGAGGGCAGAGCAGATTGGGACGATCACCTCCCTGTCCCTGCTGCCACCCCTCTGCTGATGGAGCCCAGGATCCCATTTGTTTTCCAAGCCACAAGGGCACCCTGCTGGTTCATGTTCAGCTTTTCATCCATCAGGACCCTGCAGGGCTGCTCTCAAGGGCTGCTCCTTCCAGTCTGTATGGATGCCTGGGATTCCTCCGGCCCAAGTGCCAAATCTCGCACTTGGCCGCGCTGAAGCTCGTTAGGTTCACCCGGGCCCAAGTCTCGAGTCTGTTGAGGTCCCTCTGAACGGCATCCCTTCCTTCCACAAGACAGGTGACACTGCAGGGCAACGGCACTGCAGGCAGATGGCACTGCAGGACCGCTGCGCTGCAGGCACGTAACTGCAGGCAGGTGGCAGTGCGGGGCTGCGGCACTGCGGGCAGATGGCAGCGCTGCCGTCCTGCCAGGAGGTGCCTCCCACACTCCACGTGCGTCCCCGGCAGCGCTGAACTGGATCCACGGGACCGGGGCGGCGCTGATGATGCGCGCCGCCGTGCGTTGCCCATTGCCACGGTTCTTCGCCAGCTGCTCTGCCATCCCCCGGCCGGGCCCCAGCTCCTGCTCGCAGGGCTCCGGGCTGGCACAGCCCAATGCGGCACAATGGGATTTTGGGGAATGGGATTTTGGAAGGACTGCCAGCCCTCAGCCCTGCAGCCCCTATAGGGTCGCTCAGACTACGCTCTGGTTTTGTCCCTCTGTTCCTTCCGGGATAAAACACCCCGGGGGTACCCAGGGCGCTCAGCGTTCGGTGCCCAGGGTTGTGCCTGCACAGAGGGATGCAGAAAACAGGAAATGTGTTGCAGTGCGACCTCTATCCCTGAACTCCGTGATCCAGCCCTGCCCGCCCCTCTTGGACTTGGTGGCACTTGTTCCAGTACAGCAGCTGGGATGGGAGGGATGCAACTCAGCCCCCACTGCCGCCTGTGCAGCCCTGGAGGGATGGCAGCAGGGGCGCAGGGTGCCTGGTGCTGGGTGCAGCGGGTCTGGGGACACGGGGCTGCTCAGCACAGCAGTGCTCAGGGCTGGGGATGCAGAAGGATAAGAGTTCGCTGTGGTGCTGCTGTCTGGAAGAGCCGTGCAATGGTCTGTGTTCAGGGTGAGCCTCTCGAGGCTGTCCCCACACCACCCCCACCTGTGTCCCCACAGCCCCACCATGAGATCTCCGTGGGGGGAAAGCGTGTTCTGGCCCCACCATCAGCCAGGAGCAGGATTTTGCTACGGAGCATCAGAGTGCGTGGCTGTGATGCCAGGAGATGAGCACAGCCCACAGAGGGACCAGCTGGATCTGCTGCAGAAGGCCACGTGCCACCATCAGCCCTGCGCTGTCCCCTCGCCCTGGGGACTCCAGCATCCCTCCGTGGTGCTTTGCGGCTTTCTGGTTTACTTTCCAGGCTTTTGAACAACTCAAAGTTAAACACAACTAAACTTTCTTTTGTTTTGTTTTGCTTCCCTTGGGCTTCTTTCCCTGGGAGCAGTCCAATTAGCGCTAATGAGCTGGATGGTAATTACAGGAGGGTTGATTACTGGTGGCTGTTGCGGGCGGGGCCAATTAACGGTGCTGCCATTGCGCTGGGGATCCTGCATTGGTTTCTTGTGGGGAGCTGAGAGTGGGTGGCTCTGCATGGGGGGAGCAGCCCACGTCCCCACTGCCCTGAGAGGGGCGCCCCGGCCAGCAGGACCCACTCAGTGCTGCGGGCCCCCATCCTCACCCCTCCTCTTTAACCCCAGCTCTGCAAGGCGCATTGGTGGCACTGGGACACGTCCACCCCCTGCTGCAGTTTGTCCCCTGTGCAGAGGGATGCGTGTTTTGGGGCTGTGCTGTCCCCTGGCACCTGGCTTTGATGTGTGACAAACAACAGCTGAGCCCAAACTTCTCAGAAGTCTGTAAAGATTAAAGGCACCCCCACTCCCCCCTTCGCCTCCAATGCCCCCAGGGCAGGGGCTGAAAATGCAGAGGTGAAAGGAGAAAACCTCTTTGGTGTCCCCTCCAAACCATGCAGCCCCATTCCGGACAGCACCTCCAAAGTGCTGCACCTCCCACCCGGGGCTGTGTGCGGTGTGAGACGTGCTGCTGGGAAGGCCTCATTTAAAACACACTGGTTTTGAGGGACAGCAAAGCACAGGGCTGTGCTGTGCACTGGTTCAGGGGCTGCCTGTGAGCAGCAGACCCCACTGGGGTCCTGAAGGGTGAAGCTGTTGCTGGCTTTGGATGCTGCATGCCAAGGAGAAATGAAAAATGAATGCGTGACGTGTGATTAATAGTTGGAAGTGTCACGAGGGTAATTGGTGCCACGATGCTACCAACTGCTGCTGATGGTGGCAGAGCTCATCCTGCAAACTGCATCAGTCAACGAGGAAGGGACTCTTTCCTTGGGGGTCTTCAGCCCTGCGGCTGGGGGAGCTGGGAGCAATGGGGCATGGTCAGCAGAGATGGGTTGGGTGGGACTTGGACATCTTTTCCAGCCTTAATGGTTCCATGTTTCTATGCCTGGTTCACCCTGCAGCTGGAGAGATGGGCAGCAGGAATCTCATGCAGCTCAGCCAGGAGTGGTGCAGAACCCCTGGGCAGGAGCAGTACAGCACAGCTCCTGTGGTCTGCAAGGCTCAGGTCTGCTTGCTGCTATCAGAGTGTGGCTGGGGCTCTGCAGAGCTGAAAGAGCCCAACAGCAGTTCTGAGAAACTGGGAGCAGGCATTGCAGCAAGCAAAGATGGGTGGAAGCATCGCGTTTTACAGGAAACGTTTTCTTTTCCTTATCCTCTCTCCAAATCAGGTGTTAACCCACATGCACTCTTTGCAGAACTAGAAAGCAGTGCTATTCCCTGAAATGAGCTGTGACCATTCCTGTCTCCTGGCCCCGGTTTGCAGTCTCAGCAGAAAGATGGACATCTCTGGGGTCAGTTCATCGCACACAGCCTAGGGCAGGATAAGCAGGTTGCTGGGTGTTCCTTGCTGGCTCAGTGAGCGGCTGAGAACCTGAGTTGTGGCAACTGCTCCAGCAGTCGGAACATCCCATCCCGGATCTGCTTCATCTTCATGCCGTAAATGAGCGGGTTGAGCATGGCAGGGACCGTCAAATAGAAATCAGCCACCAGGACTCGGGTGTGAGGCGCCAAGCCGAGAGAGAACATCTGCAGGTACATGGAGAGCAGGCCGCCCATGTAGAACAGGAGGATGACGGACACGTGGGACCCGCAGGTGCTGAGGGATTTGAGACGAGCCCCTCGGGACAGCAGCCTCAGCACCGACCTGAGGATCATCCTGTAGGAGAAGGTGATGAACACAGAGTCCGTCCCGACCAGCAGCGTGGCCACGACGACGCTATAGAGATGGCTGACCGATGGGTCGGCACAAGCCAGCTCCACCACGGCCATGTGCTCGCAGTAGGAGTGGGGGACGACCCTGTCCCCGCAGTAGGGTAAGCTGGTGAGGAGGCACATCAAAGGGGCCATGACAGCAGCTCCCCGGGCCAGAGACAGCAGCCCTATCTGCGCGGCCCGCGCCTGGCTCAGGATGGTGATGTACCTCAGGGGGTTGCAGATGGCCACGTATCGGTCAAAGGACATCGCCAGCAGCACCCCTGACTCCACGGCAGTGAACGTGTGGATGAAGAACATCTGGGTGAAGCAAGCCTGAAAAGCAATCTGTCTGGAGCCCAGCCAGAATATGCTCAGCATTTTGGGAACTACAGCGGTTGTGAAGATGAGGTCAATGACAGCCAGCATGGAAATGAAATAGTACATGGGCTCGTGGAGAGTTCTGTCCAGCCTCACGGCGAGCAGCACCGTGCTATTTCCCAGCAAGGCCATGATGTACGTAAAGCAGAATGGGATGGAAATCCATGCGTGGGCATCTTCCAAGCCAGGGATTCCCAGCAGGAGAAAAGGCAAAGGAGCGGTGCTGGATTGGTTGGGGACCAACATGGCACAGCTGACTTCAGTTCCCTGCAACACACAGACAGAAAGTTTGGGATTTTGCTACCATTTCTTTGGTCATAAAACCGTGTACATGCAGCACCACAAAATGTAAGGAAAACCTTTCAGGATCTGTTACCCACAGTCAGGTTTTTAAACCGATGCTGCGGTCGGTGCTCTGCAGGGCAAAACTGAGCTGAGAAACTGCAGCCAGAGGAACGATGTCTCGAGCAGCAGCCACTGCTACCCTCAGCTGAGGAAGGTTGAATTACGTGGTGCCAACAGCCCATGTGCTCATCAGTTCATGAGGCTGAAGGACACAGCAAAGCAGAACACAGCCCTGCGTGGCGTTCCTGCCATCACAGTGTGGGACCTCTCATTGCTGGCAGGCAGCGTGCAGTGCAACTGGAGATGGAGAACCTTGGGTTTTTGCCCCAGCTGCACTTACCCCCATGGTTACAGCCACACGCTTCTCTTCCCATCTGACCCTGCCTGTCTGCTCCCTCCAGCTGCAGCCCCCTGTCCTGCCTTCCCACGTGTGGCCACAGAGGCACTTCTCAACACAGTAAGTTCACAGGGTTGAGTTGGAAGGGACCCCTGAAGGCCATCAAGTCCCACTCCCTGCAGTGCACAGAGACCCCCACAGCTCCATCAGTGCTCACTGAGCTCGGATGTCTGTAGGGATGGGTCTAGGGAACTGAGTCATAGCATGGCTTAGCTTGAGAGGATTGCCACCCACACAGCTACAAGATTGCAATTTAATTTTTTTTTAAATATAACCTCTATTTCCCCCCTGTGCATACAGAATTGTGCTGCCTTTGGTGTCCCTGAGGTGCTGCCCGCTGCTCTCACAGCCCCTGGGAGGCTCACTGGGATGCAGTGGGAGCCCCCCCAGCTCCATGTGTGCAGCTCAGGGCAGCTGGTTCTCAGCTCTGTCAATTTCTTGGTCTGCTCTTCTTGACTTTGCCTTTCCCCACGCAGTTTGCATTGTTTTTAGGAAACCCGATGAGGGCAGCGCAGAACAGCTCCCATCCCAGAGCCAGGCACTGCAGTGCCTGTGTAATCACCACTGTTGGGATGTTGGGTCTGGCAGCTTCCGTTGAGGTCCCTCAACCATTCCATTCTGCCCTCGCTCTCCTGATGCCTCTCAGCTCAGTGCCATCCCGCCTGGATGCAGAGCAGCAGCGGTGCATCTCCGGACCCTACACACACACACACACACACACACAGGTTAACCCAACTTCCCATCTCATCAGAAAACAAAATCAGGTTTGTTTGACAAGAGCTATTTCCCGCTGATTGCCGTTAATCGAATTAGGCGTAACTCGATTCCAGTTCTGTAATTCTCTTTTGGCCCCATCTCCTGTTGGCCGCTGGGGCAGCGTGCGGGCGCTGACGTCAGGCTGGGCGCTGTGCAGATAACAGCACTGTCTGATGGCTCCTTGGGGCAGTGCCAGGTTGGGGCAGGATGGGGACACCCATGCCGTGTACCCAGACCTGCTGCTGCTCTTGCCTGCCCCCTCATGCAGAGGATGAATGGCTCCATCTCCTTTATCTGCTTTCCCTACCGAAAAGCTTCCGACGTGCAGGAGGTCCCAACGTGTGCCCCACTCCTCTTCTGCCCCATTTGTTGTTGTGGCTGCAGCTCCTGCCCCATCCTGGCCATGCAGTGCTTCCCATCAGCCAAACTGCTCACGATCTCAGAGATCCCTGCAGTTCCCCATTCTAATTTCCCTCTGCTTTTAAATTTTGTCAGTTTCGGAAAGCTGAACTTCACAAAAGATCAGTGTTGCATCTGCGGTACATTGAGATCACTGCCTCCAGCCCCTGGGCACCACCAACCTCCGTTCCTGTAGTTCAGCTCTTTCCCACCACAGCGGAGCCCCTTCTGCTGGACGCAGAGCCCTCACACTGATAAGATGGGCCCTGTGCTCTCCTGTGACACTTCATCACATCTTCCACACGCGGCCCTTCCCTCCCCAGCTCTCCCTCCCTCTCCTCCCTACCCCAGACCCCCTGGGGCAGTGCGAGCTGTGTTGAGCTCATTATAGATTGGTTGTAGAAACAGAAACAAACTTCTTTTTTCAGTGAACGGTTTCTGCTTTTTGTTCAACTGCTGATCTGTGTCTTCATTCTAATGGGAGACCGAACCGATTTCTTGTAGGAAGTCCCCAGCCGTTGCCATTCCCTTGCTGGCTCAGCTCCTGTGTGTGTGCCCACAGCCATCCCCCACCCCAGCAGCCCCATCCGCACACATCCCCACATCCCACTGCTCGCAGCCACCTGCAGCACAGGGCAGAGCTGTGGCTGTGCTTCAATCCCCCAGCGGTGCAGCAGGGAGAGTCCTGCGTGGAGGTTCCCAAGGGCACGAGTTCCTCTGTGGGCATCTGCTGTGAGCTCTGATCGGTGCCAGGGCGACGCAGCACGAGCCCGCCTTGTTCTCTCACATCTCACTTATTTTTCAGGCTAAAGGAGATGGGAAAGTGAGGCAGCAGCAGCAGCACGGGTCACAGACCCTTAGAGCCACAGGGGTGGGAAGGGACCTCTGGAGATCCCCCAGCCCAGCCTCTGAAGCAGCTCCCTGCATTCTGTGCACAGAACGGCACCCAGGATGTCTCCAATGAGGAGACCCCCACCTCTCAGGACGGCAGTGCTGGGGCTCTGCTCCCCTCACAGCACAGAAGTGCTGTTCCACAGGAGTACAGGGGGAGGATCCCCTCCCTAGCCCTGCTGGCCACGTTCTTTTTTAATGCACCCCAGGATCCCATTGGCCTTTTTGGCCACAGGGCACAGTGCTGGCTCACGGTCACCTGTTGTCCACCAGAAGCCCCAGGTCCTTGTCCTCAGAGCTCCTCTCCATCTCACAGACCTGCACTGATGCTGTGGCTGCTCCTCCCCGTGTGTAGGACCCTACACTTGTCCTTGTTGAGCTTCCCTGGGTTCCTCCCTGCCCAGCTCTCATCCTGCCCAGCTCTCACTGACTGGCAGCACGGCCTTCTGGGCTGTCAGATGCTGCTCCCAGCTTCATTCCATCACCAAATTAACTGAGAGGGACCCCATCCCTTCATCCAGGTCACTGGTGGAAACGTTGAGCATGGCTGGACCCAGCACAGACCCTTGGGGAACATCACTAATTACAGCCTCCAGCCAGACCCTGCGCTGCTCATCACAGCGCTCTGAGCTCTGTTGAGCAGAATGAGGGGATGGAGAGCAACTCCAACCCCACAGAAAGGGGCCTGGGGCTCTCTGCAGCAAGTTGAACAAGAGCCAGCTGTGTGCCCAGGCAGCAGGAAGGACAACTGTCCCCTGAGGGGCACCGGGCCCAGCAGCGCCCCCAGGCAAGGGGAGGGCTGTCCCCTCTGCTCTGCTGTGCAGCCCCACCTCCAGCACTGGGTGCAGTTCTGGGCACCACGGTTCGAAAAGGACTTAAAATGCTGAGAGTGTCCAAAGAAGGGCTATGGAGATGGGGAAGGGTCTGAAAGCAAGGGGTGCAAGGAGTGCTGAGGTTGATTGGGTTGTTTGGCCCAGAGCAGAGGAGGCTGAGGGGAGGATCGTGGCCTTACAGCCCCCCACTGCCCTACAGCCCCCCACGGCCCTACAGCCCCCC